AAATTATTTTCAAGAAATTCAAATGAAATGACTGTAAAAACAAAAAATTTTCATGAACACATAATTTGATACTTTGAGACTTAAGCGCAGGAAGTTGATATTAATATAGAAATGACGTGTATATTTTTGAATTACATTTTATATCGGATTGAATGAAGAAATTCATTTCTATCAAATATATTTTTCTAGTAAAAATAAATTTCTTTATACAATCCAATTCTATCCAAGCCTAAAAAATATATATCATTTCCATAAAATTTTTATATTAAAATGAATTTTCTAACCTAATCCAATGTCTTAGTTGGTATTCATTTGAATATAAAAATAGACAAATGAAGATCAAGACGAGATTTAATTACTGATGACAATTAATTCTTCTGGTTTATGGTTTTATTCGGATGTCATTATGTATTATTTGAAGATAAACTTGACAGGTTAAATAAATCCTTCAAAGAAACAAATTTTGTCAGTTATGTAAGATAAAAGTCTTTTGATGTCAGTTCCGAAACTAGAAAAGTAACCATGGCTATCATTCGTTTCAAAATATTAATGTGCTGTACTGTTTTTTGAATAACTTTTGATAAGAATATCATAGAGACGAAAGAAAACTCGGAGCCGTCATCGAACTATATCACAATTTGATTCATCAACATTAACCAATCAAATTTCAATAGAATTCGCTGATGCCGAATCTTCTCTGCTTAGAATGGTAAAAATCGCGGGTCTCTATGATGTTCCAATCAAAAAACAGTACAGCTTATTATATTTTAAAATGAATTGTCAGTCATACAGATCTTTTTTTAAAATTATAAATATGATTTTTTGTTTTTTTTTTTGAAGAAGAAAATTTTTAATTTTAATTTACAATTTTCTCTTAAGTTGAAAGGTGTTTATTTTGATCGTGAAATTTTATTGGAACAATTAACATTGGATGTGAAAATTTCTATAAATATAAATGATTTAATTCCAATAACTGTTTATAGTCGTATTGATGCAGTTCAAACAAATAATAATTCAAATGATCATCTTCGTTTTTTATTTTATCAATTATTTATAAAACAATATTGTTTAAATTCATCATCAATATTAAATAAAAATGATTTTATTGATATAATTCAAAATTATTATGATTTAAATCGAAAAGAATTAAAATTAATACAAGAATTTAATAATGAATATAATTCAAATAAAAATATTTTTACATGGTTTATACGTGATTGTTTTATTCGACGAATGTTAACACAATCTTTATTAAAATTAGATATTCAAATATTATTTTCATTAAGATTTTTTATTAAAGATATGTTTAAATTAATGATTGAAAATGTTTCAATATCAAATCAAAAACAAAATTTTTATTCAAATAATTCAGGAAGATATACTAATGGACGATCAACACAAGAACAAATATTTTATCGTGGACAAGCTTTATCAAAAGAAACTTTATTTAAAATAAAATCAAATCTTGGTAATATATATAGTTCATATTAGAAATTCTTTTTAATTAATTATTTGTTTTTTGTCTTTTTGTTTATAGGTGAAATATTATCAATAAATAATTTTATATTAGCAAGTAAAAATCGTCAAGATTCATTAGGATTTATTCGTAAAAATATTCCACCAAATGATTTAGTCTATAGAGTTTTATTTGAAATGAAAATTCCATTAGAATATTCATTACAAAAACAACGTCCTTTTATTGATATTAATTATTTAAATGATAATAATAAATTATCAAATGAAGATGTTGATGATAATAATTTATATTCAATATTATTTTTTATTGGTTCTATTTTTCGAATTAATACAGTTGTTTTTGATATTAATAATGATTGTTGGATTATTCAATTAACATTATATGATGAAAAAATGAATCAAGATTTTTCTCAAGTATTTACATTTCTTAATGATATAAAACGAACAAATACAGAAAATGCAATAGCATTAGCAAATCTTCTACGTCAAATATCACCAAATTCAGCTGAACAATTTTATAAACATTTATTAAAAAAAAATTCTGAATCTATATCAAAATTAGAATGTTATCGTGGTCTTGGTCTTTGTTCATATTCAAAAGATAATAGTGAACAAGCATTAGATTATTTTGAAAAAGCATTAAATTTAAAACCAAATGATAAATTAATTAAATCATCATTACATAATAGTATAGGTCTTGTTTATGCACAACAAGATCAAATTGATGAAGCATTACTACATTTTAATAAAGCATTAGAAAATACATCATTACCATTACATATTGCTTGTGTTCATCATAATTTAGCATTAATTTATAGTAAACAAGAAAAATATGAAAAAGAACTGGAACATTATCAAGAAGCTCTAAAATATCGTACAGGTCAATTACCATCTTATCATTTACAATTAGCATCCTTACATAATAATATTGGTATTGCATATTCAGATATGCATGAATATGATAGAGCATTAACTAATTTACGAAAAGCACTTGATATGCGTTTAAAATTATTATCTGATACACATATTGATGTTGCAAGAAGTTATGCAAATATTGGTACTGTTTATGCTAAAACACAAGAATTTCGAATGGCTTTAGAATATTTTAATAAAGCATCACTTTTATTTGAAAAACAACAACAAATACCTCAACAAGATATTGAACAACTTGATAGAAATATAAAAATTGTTAATGATAAACTTAGGTAAGAAGATTAAATTGAAATTATTGATTTATTTTTGTTTGTTTTTTTTGTCTAGACGAAAAACGTATTAATCAATTTGTTATCTTCTGACAAAACAAATATATTTAACAAAAAACAAAAAACAACCCTGTGGAAAACTACTTCTATTTTTTCTTTCTGAATGTATTTCTCATTGAGAACATTTGTGAATAAATGTTTAATAAAAAAAAATTGTATGTTGATTAAATATGACTTTTTTCTTTTTCTTGAAAACAGTTTGTATTCTTTCCGATCGAAAAGTTTATCAAATTATTGTTAAATTTTCATTTTGTTTTTTTGCTTTTACAATAAATTTAATGCAGTCAATATGAATTTCAATCTTCTGTCAAGAATGTTGATATATAATTTTGCCCATTGAAAGTAAAATTAGGTCTTTATTATTGAATTGGTAGTCATCAACAATCAACAATCTTATTCATTTCTATATAGAAGTCATTAAGAAAAATTCCCACGTTTCTTTCTACATTTTTGGAGAACAGCGAGGGGTTACCGAGATCTATTTATTTAAATCATCGAATTTATATAAGAATCTTGATTACTCATGTCAATCTTTCAAATGACATATTATCATATAATATCATCTCTTGTAATAATAAAAATATAAACATGAGAATAAATTTTTCGTAATTGAACAATGTGATTTTTTTTCTACAGATTTTTCTAAATAAAAGACATTGTAATAGAAATGGATAACTATTTATCTCATTCGTTTATTCAATTCTCATCACGATCGACAGATTACATGTTCAGACAACCTATGTATTTAGTAACAAGATTGAAATTGATAAAATATATGAAAACATCGTGCGCAAAATAAAATACAAAAAACAAAAAGATGAATTATTTGATAGTCGAATTTTATTTCAAGATGATAACACTAAATTTGCTGATATATAGTCAACTGGAAGTGTGGGGCAATATTAAAGGAAAAGATGTGAGAAGAACAATTTTTAAGTTTTAAACAAATAAAAGCAAGAATGAAAAAATAACTTTCAAGGATTATTAAAAAATTTTTACGAGACTTGATAACAAATACGCGATAGTTAAACGAGATTTCTGTGTAATTAGTTTAATATAAGAATGTTTTTCATTTTTAATAAAATATCTTGTTGATCGATTGCAAAAAATTTATTCTTATATTCTCATGTACTAGGCATCGACCTTCAGTCTAGTTTCTTTCATTTGATGATACTATATATAACAGGACTTATAGAAAAATTCCGGAAGCTACTGAGAACAACTCATCAGAACATCTTGAAAGTAATAAAACAGATAGGCCTCGATGAGTAGAGCAAAAGTTTTTATACACTCGAAACTCTTGGATGATTTACTACAGAAGATATTAAAATTGTAAGAACTAAAAATCCTATTCCCATTATCGTTCCTCTTTCTCAGTCACAATACTTCTAATTGAGCTAAAATATTTTTTTACAGGTACTAGACATCGTTTGCATCACCTGCGTGTTTTTTTTTATCTCTCTTTTCATTCGAATAAAAATACGAAAACCTTAAGAACATTCTAAAAAATGCATGTTTTTTGTGTTTTTTCTACCTTGAGATTTTTCCTGTAAACCCTAATAAAAAAAAACAGCGGTGTATCATATTTTGAAAGAAAAAAGAAGTTAGACATTCTAAACATTTTCTCGTATAATTAGAAGATAGTTTCAGCTTGATCGTGTGTGTTGTACTTGAGAAACAGATACCATAGTCGATTTTTTTTTTATTGAAAAATTAATTTTTTTGTTTCAAAACAGCGAAATAAAGTTAAATCGGAGGATAGTGTCCTTTGAAATTGTGTAACAGAATGACATCATCATTTATTATCTTTTTGTTTTCATTCGATGAAATGAAAGATAAGAAGAACAAAAGATAAATTATCGGCTCAGAAACACGGGTGTAGAATCATAAGATAATCATATCTCCAAGGTAAAAGATTCTTCATCATGGCCGATAAATTATTAAATATTTACATTTAAGATTCACCGAATCAGATAGAAATATTAGAAGAATCATGACGCATGTACGGTTCATAAACACGGTCTAAATATTGTCATCAATTTCGGTGTTCTTTAGTCAGGATTCGAACACAATAACTATCAATATTTTATTCTAGAACGAGTGAACAAAAGTATTCAATATATTTATAAGCATATTTTCGTATCAGACAACAACAAAAAAAAAAAAATTTTTTCTATAAGAAATTTTTAATTAAAATTTATTTTTCATTCTGTAATCAATCACTATCATATTGGAATACATGTAACAAAAAAAGAAAATATCTTTTAAAATTACAAAAATAAAACCATTCAAGTATCATTTCTCATCATAAGATAAAATAATGAATATAAAAAAAAAAAAAAAGAAGAAATAGAAAAATATAAAAAAAATACATATCACAATAAAATGTCGTACTAATTTAACAAGATTTCATTCTACTTGGTTGTACCCATCCTCCCATAGTTTGTTCAATTTCTTGTGCAACAGCTAAACTTAATTTATCATGACCTCGACCAGCAATACATTGTATACCTAATGGTAAATATTGACTATCTAATCCTAATGGACATTGTGTTGATGGTAAACCTAATGCATTAATAATACCACAATAAATATAATCAAATGTATTCATAATTAAAGGCCAACCATGAAATGGTGCTGATTGAGGAAATGTTGGAAATAATAAAACTCCATCATCACCTAATAATACTTGAATTTCATCAAAAAATTTATGTGCTAATCTATGAAAACGTCTATTATATTTATTTGGTAATGCTTCTAATATAAGAAGACCTATAGCTGGTAATGTATGTGTTGAACGAAATAAAAATTTTTTTAATAATTCATGATAACCATTTACATATGTATTATTACAAAGTGATAATGAAAAATCACTTGATGATAATTCACCATCAACCATCATTGCTGACCATAATGATACAGCATAACGAAGACGATTTAATCGTAAACGTGGTATATGAATTTTATATTTATGTTCAAAATGTTCGACTACCTAATACATTATCATAATTATTATAAAAAATTTTTGTTTTTCAATAGAACTTACTCGTCGATGAGCTAATTTTTGTTCTTCATCAACTTTATTAACAAAATAAGCATCCATTTCATCAATATAAAAATAACGTAATTTACTTAAATCAACCTTTAATAAAAAACAAAAAAAATTATTGATCTAGTCTTTAATGAAATTCAGATATCCTTTTTAAATTTCGTACATTTATTTGTATAAAAGATCTCAATGCATACACTATTCTCTATCTCAATAAACTTTGAAGTAATCATATTGATTGTGACAAATCAATATAATTAGAAATTACTCGGCTGAATAGTATATATAATGATCTTGATATGTTAATCGATCGAACTTACCGGAGTATCAATATCTATTAATTTGTCAATATTTTCTGAACCTGCCAATACTTTAAGCATTGGTTGTAAATCACATGCATAACGACACATTGGTCCTGTTGCTAATAGATATTTTTGATGATGATCTTTATGTGGTGGATATTGACCATCATTAGGAACTATATCTATTCAAAATAAATGAAATTATTTTTGTTTTTAATTAAAATAAAATTCTTTTGTCTATACTAGGTGTTGTTTTATGTCCAAATATTCCATTCATAAATGAAGGTAATCGAATACTTCCGCCTATATCTGCACCAACAGAAAATGGTACACCAGCTGCTGAAACAATACAACCAGCACCACCTGAACTACCACCAACAATTCTTGTTAAATCATATGGATTATTCGTTACACCATAAAGAGAATTTCGTCTAGAATAATTTAGATAATTAATTGAATTTTTTTCTTTTTTTTTGTAAATAAACTTACGATTCAAACCACATACAACCTTCACTAACATTCGTATTGCATAAAAGAATAGCACCTGATTTTATCATATTTTCTACTGATTTTGCTGTTTCAGTTGATATAATATCTTTTCTTGCCTCAATTCCAGTTGAATTATGAAAACCAGGAAATTGCATTGATTCTTTAATAGCAAATGGAACACCAAGAAATGGTGCTCGTTCTTCGCTATATTGTTCTGGTAATGAATTTCCATTCTCTAATATTTCATCTATTTGTCGTGCTTCATTTAATGCTTGTTCAAATCTTTCATCAACATAAACATTTAAATAAGGTTGTATAGTTTTTATTCGTTCAACATAAGCACGAACAACTTCATAAGCTGTTACCTAATAAACAAAAAAATTAATTTTTTTATTTATTTTTTTTGACTAAATTACTTGTCGTTGACGAATACGTTTAGCAATTACAGTTGCTGGTTGAAGTAATATTTGATTTGTTATAGGTGGTAATTTAAATTTTTGATTTCCAAATATTAAACGAAAACCAAGTTTAATCCATATTGATAAAAAACTACGAATTAACCATAGAATAAAAGAAATAAATTTTAATGTTTTATCCATTGCTCAACAAAACAAAAATATCAACTGATTTACAATAAAACCAAAACAGAACAATAGAGAAAGAGAAACAGAGATAGTTTATCAGTTATGAATTGGTAGACTTTCGACCAATGTTAGTCATTCGCAGAAACATGACGTGACATCATTAGACAGCTATATGTAAAACAAAAAGTGTTCCATATACATAGTCAAAACAAAAAAAAAATATTATAACATCAAATTTTTACTTTTCATTCTTATCTAGTTTTATATATTAAAAACAAAAAATAAATTATAATATCTAAAGTTACATAGGCAAGTTATTGCGCAACATAGAAACGATCATATATGCAAAATGTCCCCAAAAATCCTTTTCTAAAAGTTTTTTCGTATATCTTTACTATTTTATTTAACTTTATCAACTATTTTTTTTTAAATCATAAGTAAATACAGCGAGTTTTTATTTATACAAGCAAAATTCAAAGATGTTCTTCAAAGGTTTTTACTTGTAATTGAAATATTAAAATTCAACCATTTATCTATAATGTAAAAAGATATTCTGCAATGATTACTGTTTCTTTTTTAATTGTTTCATTTTCTTGGATGTTATCCATGCGTTCACTCTCTGCATTGATTAATCAACATAGTTTCTGTATTTGAACTAAAATTCATCCGCTGTTGTGTCATTTCAAAGTTGCAATGTGAAGCGTTAAGTAAATTAAATGTTAAGTCACTTTTTTTGATAATCCAACGATTGTTCAACAAAATAATCTTGACATGCTCTAACGTTTCTTTTACCTGATTTTATACAAGAAAAAAAGTGATTTTCCAGCAACATATGACATTAGGACATTGCTTCAAGACAATTCACTACTGTCTCACCAATGAATGTGATGATCAGTGGTTTTGAAGAGATAAACTGAGCTTTGTGGTCACTAGACTTAATACCATTGAATTTATTTTTGTGAGAATATGTCAAAACAAATGTCTATAAAAGGATTATTAAGGATCAGAATGATTCAAGAAATTGAAATTAATTAAAAATGAATCGTGGTTACAGGTGAGAGCTTTGAAGTATGCTCGTGCAATTAAAAAGTCAGTGTATGAATCTATCATTAAAACAAAATCAGTTGATAAGTTGAATCGAATAGTAATGATATATAGAAAAACTTTTGAAGCACTCTACATAAAAAGAACGAATAATAGTTTTATTATTATGTTCGAAACTCCTCAGAATAGAAGATCATGAATTTTTCAAAATTTTTTTTCAAAAACTTTAACGAATTTTAAGGGTAGTAACTACAAATCTGATTCTATGGTACTTAGTTGTTAATAAATCCTATTTGAATGTCAGAAGAGTTTTTCAAAAGTCCTTGATTTTCTAGGTTAATATTAGCAAAAACCTAGCCCACAATAGAAGGCTATGGCTTTTTATTTCGGAAGAGGAATTTACGAGAAGGAAACGATTGACTTTTTGGCTTAATTAACTTAAAATGATTTTCATGACTTTAATGATTTTAAAAAACATACATCTCTGGACAAAAGTTTTTTTCTCCTCTGTCTTTCTGCACTATGATATTTTGCATCAAATTTATTACCAAGTAAAGATATGACATAAGAGTTTTATTTCAGTGAAATAAAACTCTTATGTCATATCTTTACTTGGTAATAAATTTGATGCAAAGTATCACAGTACAAAAAGAAAGAGGGGAAAAAAACTTTTGTCCAGAGGTGTAGGTGAGGTTAGAAGTGGATTCGAATAATTTCAGCGGCGATTCATTCAAGAACCTGTTCTAGAGCTCCTAATCAATATTCCAAGTACAACTTGGCGAGCTCTATCTAATAGTATCATTAGATTTCCTATAACCCTAATCATGCTCTAAAAAAACTATGAAATACTGGTAGATCAGTATAAGCGTATTGGAACTACTATAGTAAATATATCAGCGAATCGTCTAGAAACCTGTTCCAAAATTCCTATTTTTATTCAAGTAGAACTTGACAAGCTCTATCCAATGGTATAATTAAATTTTTCATAGCTCAAATAACTAACGAAAGTTAGTAGTCGATTCAAGTCTTTCTTCCTAATATTCGTTTCTGAATCTGTACTGTTCCTCTGGTTGGCGATGATGGATTGACCTGGATTTAGAACAGCTTTGCTTTCAATCGACTTTTTTCTGTATCATAAAATGTAGGAATTATTTAATATTTTCGCTAGTTGTAACAAAATGATGTCCATTTCGTGATGTATGGAAAACAATTAAGGTAAAGTACAGTGAACTCGTTCATTGCAATGTCCGTGCAACGGAAACGAATTAAAATGAGAAGTGTGCAAGTGATATGTCAGATCCTAATGCAGAGAATCGAAGACGAGATGAAGTTTTTATTGTGTAGATCAGTATACCTTTTCCTGTGACCTGTCCTTGCCGTATATAATTTTTTTTACGCATTTAATTCCTGCTTCTTTTGTCAGTTGTTTCTCTACTTCCCACTATATTCCTTCTAAGTCTCGTTTTCCCCTTGGGGATTTAATTTACTTGAATTTTATTGAATTAAATGATTATTATACTAACGGATTACGTATAATTAGTACGAGTCATCAACTATGTAAACTGTCTTATTAGAGAAGATATTTTTGTTTAAAAAATTTTATCTCTGACGAAATTTTTAATCATATTTTATTCTTATAACCAATAATTTGATATTCATGTGATTGTTCTTCCTTGGTTTTTTTTCATCATAATATTCATATATTTATTAAATTTTAAGTTGGAAAATATAATGAGAAATGAAATTAAAACAAACTTTATATGTTAAAATTAATTAACTTAAAATGATTGTTTCATGATGAATTTATTATTCTTTCAAAATTTTGGACTATTAAAAATGAAATGGATCATTAAAACTATAGAATCTAATCGAAAAAAATTTTTATTTTCATACATTTTTCTAAACTAAACTATTTTCATAAAATTAATTATCAGTTGGCATTAATTATATATGTTATAGCATATAGAGGATATTATCTGTTATAGAAAGTGAATTTTAGTGATTAAAATATCGATTAATTCTTCCTTTGTTTCCTCATATCTATCGAATAATTAGAAGCGTTGTATACGCAGGAGCGTAGCCAGGAGGGTGTACACAGTGCCTGCGCATCTCCCTTGGGTAAAAAATACTTGGGGACGGTGAAGCCGAAAATATTTTCGCGAACAAAAGAATTATTTTTCTGCTGGCCTGCATCCTCTCCCCTCAATGGCAAGTCGGGCATCTCCCTTGAAAAATTCCTGACTATGCCTCTGATTCGGTTATCTGTTTTCTTTTGTTCACTTGTGAATATGATTTAAATAATTCAATATCTTAGATTGTACATTTAATCATCAATTTATTCTCACTGGTTCATTTGCTTTTAACATGAATATACAACTGTGATCGATCGCAAAAAGACAATTATATTTCAACAATTTTCCTATGACAATTCAATAGAAATATATAAAGGAGATAATTGTTATTGTTTTTATTCGTATTTAAGAAGGATAAAGTATCTTTTTCCTCTTGTTGCAGTGTTCAAGATCTGTGGAAAAAGTTTTAATGGATTTCTTTCCTTAACAATGAACTATGTACATCGATTATCTTGATAATATTAGCCTAAAAAATCTCATCCATCAGTATAATACAATATAGAAGAGAAAAACATTTCCAATATCGATTATATTCTCTTCATATAATTAGATGCATGCTAATAGTCTGAATTATTCAACACGACATGATCAAGAATATCTCAATTGTTTACGATTTTCATATGCATAATGTATTCATAGTTGTGCCATCTGATACTCACACTAAGACAAAGATAAAAAATAAAAATGACAACCAAATTTTATTCGACTAACATTCATTGTCTTTGTCTCTGTTCTTTCTGTAGAATATCATTCCGCCTACTATTTATTAAAATAATATGGAAATATAATATTTTCTTTTGATAAAAACAAATCTTACTCTCTGGGTGTTTTACAATTAAACAATGCTTAAAGTAATTGTTCATAATGCTGAACGTGTTCCTAATTTGGAACGTTTCTCTACTGTTGATCCAATGGTTACAGTTATTTTTCAAGGTATATACCAATTATTGAGTAGAGAAGAGTTAATAAACAAATTAAATATAATTTTAAGATATTTATGATCAAGTGATTTCGTAACTTAATCAATTCTTATGTTTAAAGGATCTTGTCGAATAGGGTGATCTATTCAGAATTGAGAGATCAAGTATACTGTGTTGTAGCATAAGTTGAGACGCGTCGAATAGTATATAGTACATTTGATTTTCATAAGAATTTGAGAGAACTACAGTCAATTTATTGATAGACGACTACGCATCCAAAGTATGATCATTGTGATCCTTGGTGTTAGTCGAAAGTGTTTGTAAAAAGTTTTTCTTACATATGATTTACCACCGGTTTTCACTAATGATGGGTTCTGTGTCTTTGATAATGTCGACCATCGAAGAGAAGAGGTGACCAGACATTAAACTTTCTCAGCAAACTGTCCACGATCTATCACTACAAAACACACTATTTGAAAGTTCTTCAAAATTTGTGTGTGATACTCTAAATTGCCTTGCGTTGAGAACTCTTACCCAAATTTTCAATCAATTTTCATCTTTTAACACTGTATTTCGATATTTTGACTATCAAAAGTCAATTCTACTGCAGAATAGACATAATATTCGGAATCAGCATAAAAAACTGCATCGAATAGCTTATATTTTAACTAAATATTTTTCTCACCAAAATTCGACCTGTATTCGCCTCTCAACCTTATTTCTAAATTTCATTCTCTCTGTGGTCGCCTGTCAAAAACTCTACAAATCTGTACATAAGAAAAACTTTTTATAAATACTTTCGACTGATATCAAGGATCACAATGATCATACTTTAGATGCGTAGTCGTCTATCAATAAATTGACTCTAGTTCTCTTAAATTCTTATGAAAATCAAGCTTGCTATATACTATCCGACACGCCTCGACTTGCGCTATAACATGATATATTTGTTTTCTCAATTCTGAATAGATCACCTTATTCGACAGGGTCCTTTTGTATTATGATAATGTAATTTCTATAGGTATTACGAAACAAACGAATTGGCAACGATCAACATGTGATCCAAAATGGGATGAGGTAGACATGATCATATTTTTGTTTTTCATATCTTTTTATTATGAAGATGATTTATATTAATATTAGACACTTGAATTTCCTCTTAATGGTATTCCAATCAAAAGTATAGATACATTAGAAATTCATCTTAAAGATTATGAAAAGATTGGAACTAACAAGTAAATTAATTGTTATATTTTATTCATTTTTATTTCTTTGTTTTTTTTTTGCATCTAGACTTATTGGTCAAGGTACAATACCATTGAATGATGTTATACGAACTGGTATCATCAAACGCCGTCCTGTTCCATTAACAAATCCGCAAGGTGTTCGTCTTGAAGCTGTAAGTTTGGAAAAAAAAATATGTTGTAATTCAATTTTGTTTTATTTTCATATAGACTAAACTATATCTTACAATTGAATATAAACCACCAAATAGTGTTACCAATGAAAAACTAAATCCAAGAAATGGTAAAATTTTTGGTTTTGCAAAGTTTTTTTTTTAAATAAAATGATGTTATAGGTTTAAATCAAGTTGACGATATACCTTTACAAAATAGTGGTGATATGTTATGGAAAGCAGAATTAGGTATTGATCAAACATTTTTATTAAGAAATAAACTACGATCGACTAAACCACAAGATTTTCAAGTTCGATAGATTTTTTTTTTCTTTGAAATACCGTTTAATATGATTTTTTTTGTTTTTTTTATAGATACGAGTAAAAATTTTTCAAGCTCGTCGATTAAATGGAAGTAATATTCATCCAGTATGTCGTATTCGAGTAATTAATTCAATAAAACAAACAAAAATTCAAAAAGGAACAAATCATCCATATTTTAATGAAGTTTTCTTTTTTAATATAAATATGTCTGAAATTGATTTATGTAATGAATTTATTGAATTTGAACTTTGTAATTCGAGAATATTTCGATCAAATATGAGAATTGGAACATTTAAAACTGATATTGGTTATATTTATTCACAAACAAAACATTCAATTAATCGAAAATGGTTATTATTAAGTAATGATAATGATAAAATGACTGGTGCCAAAGGTTATCTTAAAGTATCTGTTAATATATTAGGATCAGGAGATGAAGCACCAGTAAGAATTGATTTATTTTCTTTAATTTGAATTTTTTGTTTTTACTTGACTTATAGTCACAAGAAAATGCAGATGATGATGATGATATTGAAAGTAATGTATTAAGACCAACCGGTCTTATGCTTCGTCCAGCAACATTTGTTTTAAAAGTTTATAAAGCAGAAGATTTACCACAAAGTTTGTATTCGAACGTTTTCTTTTGTAGCAAAAGAAAAGAAATAAATAAATCATTTTTAGTGGATAGTTCATTTTTACATGGTGTTAAAAAAATCTTTAATACAACTGAAGATATCAAAGATTTAATTGATCCTTATGTTACATTTTCATTCGCTGGACAACAAGTATGTTCAATAAGAATACAAATTAATCTTAGTCTTTTTTTTTTTTTATGTTAGGTCGCATCGAAAATTATTTATACTTGTTCACATCCAGAATTTAATCAAGAACTTCGACTTGGTCTTAAAGTAAATTTTATTTTAAACTTATCTGTTTTTTATTATTTCATATAGTTTCCATCAATGTGTGATAAAATTACACTTACTGTTATGGATTGGTTAGTAAGATTTTATTTTTATTTCGAAGATATATTTAAACATGTTTTTTAAATAAAACATATTCAGGGATCGTTTACAATTCGATGATATAACTGGATCAGCTTTATTAGATATTAATTCGATATGCGATGATCGAGAAAATGGTATGTTTAGTTTTTCTAGATATTAATTAATCAATTTATAGAATTCGAAGAACATTTTATCGATCGACAAAATTTTTCTATTATTATGCGAATATAAACTATCTCTTCTTTTTGTGAAACTCACATTACGTTTTGCAGAGAAAAATATAATGTGATTGTATGTTCTCATTTTCCTTGCATAGCAACGGAAGAAGGAAAATGAAGGACGGCACTTCCATAGTAACCAAAGATTAGCAACAAGAAAACGCACTGAACAGTATTAACAACATAACTTAGCCTGTTCTAGACCATTTCAAAATCTTTTCAGAAATTTGAATGAAATGTAAAGCAAAAAAATAGAGCGCCATTAAAAAAATCCTCTTCGAAATGCAGACGTTTCTCTATCGATTGATTATTCTTGAAAAACAACTATAGTCTACTAGAGACTTTCAACTTAACATATTTTGTATTAATGTACTCAGGCTAAAGAACATATATGAGTTCCATATTTTAGCCTAAAATAAGCTGATACACTAATGAGAGATTTTAGAAAGTATCAAAATTTCGATTCATTATAAATAACAAAATGAAAATAATTTTGAGAAAAAATTGAAGTTCAATGAGTTATTTTTTACTTTTGCTACTAAATTAATTTAAATATAAAAATAATTTCTATAAGGTTTTCTTCCAATATTTGGTCCATGTTGGATTAATTTATATGGTGCACCACGAGAATATTCTGAATTTCCGACTGCATTAGATGAATTAAATAGTGGCAAAGTAAATCATATCTATAAAGAAATTTTTAATTTAAAAAAAAAAAGAAATTTTCCTCTAATATAGAGTGAAGGTGTTGCATATCGTGGTCGAATATTTATTGAATTACAAACAATTCTTGGTGAAATTCCAAATGAATCTATTGGTGAAATATCAAATTCAGATATAATTCGTACATTACCATATCAATCACGAAAAAAATTTAAATTACATGCGGCATTTCTTGATGCTTCTATATTATATGAACATGAATCAACAGTTGAATTTGAAATAAGTATTGGAAATTATGGAAATAAATTTGATAATCTTGACGGATATGCAAATTGTTCAACAACACCACCAACAAATCCTGTTTTTGATGGAACATCTTATTATTTTTTACCATGGGAACATACAAAACCATGTGTACAAGTTGCAAGTGAATGGGAAGATATTACTTTTAGATTAGAAGCTCTTAATCATTTATCAAATATGAAATTAGTTTTTGTAAGTTAAAAAAAAACAAACAATTTTTTTCATTCTATCAAAATGAAAACAAAAACAAAAAGAGATATTCTTCATTTTTAAGATTGATCTTATATCAACATTAAATTTATTAAAAATAAAAAAATTATCTGATGAAATTCTTATTCAACATTATAAACAATCTGTCGATACAATTATTTCATGTTTGAAGTAAAGTTAAATTTTAAAAGATGATCGAAAAGTTTCGACCTCTCTTAGAAAATCGATCATATCTATGACAAACTTACAGTGAATACTAAAATTATTCGACAAAGTTTATTTTCGATACTTTTCTATTGCCGTACACACTAGAAAAAATTCAAACAACAATTCAAATAGAGCGCTTACCGATCGGCCTATGTGCTGTCCTGGTTTTATTATATAAACTTATTTAAAAACTTCGATTGGTCTAAATACTATGATGTCGTTTATATTTTATATGAAGAGTTTTATTTATTTTTTTTGACTCCGTTTTTCTTGTCCTATGTAATTCAAGAAAAAACAGTCGAATTCAAGTATGGAACTGGTACCGATCGTCAAAAATTTAGACCGATTTCATCTCTAATCACTATTCGGATTACAATAGTGGAAAATCTTGTTGAATAATTTTTGTTGACACTGTAGATTTGCTATAGATCTGATTGATTTATTGAGATGGATCGAAACTTTTCGATCATTCTTGAGAATTTTCTGTGAATTTATTGAATTTTTCTAAATAGAAAGCCATTACCTGATTTTGAACTATGTCGTTATCATATCAATGAACTTGATCGATTAAGACGTCAAATGCGTGAAAGAGATCTTTTTGATATAATTTATAAATTAGAACAATTAAAATTACACGCTAAAACATCACAAGATATTTTCAATACATTAGAAGATATTCAACAAAATCTTGAATTTCTTCAATATGAAGTAAAATTTTTGTTTTGATTTTTATATTTATTTCTTAAAATAATAATTAAATTTTTTAGCCACAAAATAGTATTCCTGATGTAATTATATGGTTATTATCAAATGGTAAACGTTATGCTTATTATCGTTTACCAGCTAATGAAATATTTTATTCTACAAATATTGATTATCGTGGTCATCTTTGTGGAAAACTTCAAACAATAACATTAAAATGGCCTGGAAAAGAAATGGACATTGATAAAGATAAAAGATTTTTTATTCCAGCAGAAATTCGAGTTAAAATTTGGTTCGGTTTAGCCATATATGAACAAGATTGGTTATCACAACAAAAAGGAGCTGATTTAACTATTTATGCAGAAACATATGAAAATCAAACAAATGTACTTGGACAATGGTCAACAACTGGACCATTAATGACTAGACCAATGTGGTCAGATGTTACAGGAAATGTAAGAAAAGATAAAGAAGAAAAAAAAAAAAAAAAACTTTTGTTTCTATTAGATGAGTTTACCGAAACAAAATTTTCAAGTACCTCCTGGTTGGCGATGGGATGGAGATTGGTATATCAGTCCAGAAACAAGGTAAATCAGTTCAACATGGGAACTGGAGAAGTATCCTTTCAAAAACCCGAGTTGATCCCCTAGAAATTTGTAGTTATCATGCTACATGCTAGTATTACAACCGTATTTCACTATATTATAAAATCGATTTTCACATTGTTCGACAACTATAGTCATCATTTTTGGGTCGTTCTTTCGGCCGTTAAAATCGCCCTTTTGAAAGAGAAAATTTGTATAAAATACTGAATGAATTATAATTGCATAGAAATTAAATTGAATTTTTGAAATATTAGTGCTCGATATGCAGATGATGCTGGTCATAGAAAATTTACTGAAGAAGCTTATGAACATCAATATCGTTTAATTGCTGGAGCACAATGGCAACCAAAAGCAATTGAATGGACTGATTTAGTGAGATATTTAATTATACAAAACAAAACAAAACAAAAAATATATAATTTCGTTTTTAAATCAATCTTTTTAGGTTGGTGATAAAGTACCAAGTAAAAATGAACGAACTGAATCACCACCTGGATGGGAATGGGAAAATGATTGGACTATAGATACTAATCGAGCTGTAGATGAAGAAGGTTCTCAGATTGAATATATTATAATAATAATCATTGATTCTGTTTATTTAGGTTTTGAATATTGTGTTAATCAAACAGTTACTGGTTGGTGTCCAGTTGAAAAATTATATCATTTAAATCGTCAACGACGTTGGTATAGAATACGAGTTCTTAAAACAGATTTCAATATTGAAGAGAGAAAAGTATTGAAATATTTTCATAATTTACAAAAAAAAAAAAAAAAAACTTTTATGTTTTATAGAAAAAAGAAATTAAAATTGATTTTATAAATGAAGGATGGGAATATGCTCCTATGTTTAATATGAAATTTCATGCCGATGAACGAAGTATGGATATGACACGTCGAAGACGATGGCATAGAAAAATGATTTCTGATCAATTATTACTTAATGAAAACAATGATGATGATAATAATAATAATAATAATTCTAATGAAGGAATTGTTATTAATACAGATATTGTTTTTCGAATGCAATCACGAGTTCCTTCAATTACAGATTCATCTTTAAAAAGTGATCAACAATCATCTGATTTAACATCAACAAAAAATAAAAATATTAAAATTGAATTGAGTGCACCAAGAATGTTTCTTAGTTTTAGAAGTAAAAAAAAAATTTTCTTGTTTTCAATAAACTTTTTATTTATTAAATATAGAACCGTATTATTATGAACTTCGATCATATATATATCAAGCACGAAATCTTCTTTCAATGGATTATGATAGTTTTTCAGGTAAGAAATTTTCTTTATTAATTATTATACAAATAATATCAATTGTTTAAAGAGAATAAATAAAATACTCTGTATTAGGTTCGTGATGTTTCAAGCTGATCTCAGTTTAAATTCTGAAAAACCTAAACCGATCTCAACTCTAGTGTAAGCTGTGAATGTGAGCGTGAGATAGGATGTCGGACGTGGATGTGGGATATGGAAGAGATGGAACTAATGTCGGTTACTAAACGATTCGGTCCGGTCTGGTCTTTTCAGACTAGCTCCATCTCTAGGATATAGATGTGTCTATGGGATTGAGTGTGAGGTATGAGTGCTACTGTTAGGAAGGTCGACATTGACAGCTACATCCTTAAATACTGACGAGGGAAGGTGTCCAACTTACGGACGTCGTTCGACTTCATATTATGGCTACGAGATAGGTCTCTATGAGACTAAAAGAATTCGGGTCCAATAGACTATCGGTGAAGAGTTATGGCCATTTTACTGGATTTTGGACCTGTGACAAGGGATTGAAAGTTTGAGCTAAAATGAATATTCCTTTCTCGAGATATTGAATTTTCAAATAAACTCGGTTTTTGTGACTTGTCTTTGAAAAGTAATTCTTTTTTTTGAAAATTCAATATCTCGAGAAAGGAAAAAATTCGTTTTGGCTGAAACTTTCAAATGATTCAAAGGACGATTAGACCTATCTATGAGCAAAATTTCAGGTCGAAATTCTTTAAGTCGATTGTTTTGGAAGTTCCTTACCACAGGCCCAAAATTCAGTTAAACGATAATAACTCTTCACTAATAAGCTATGGGCCTGAATTCTTTTAATCTTATAAAGGCCTAGTTTTAGCCATAATACGGAGTCGAATGACGTCTATAAGTTGAGGATCTTCTCTCGTGAGTCTTTTTAAATTAATTATTAAGCATTTATTATAAAATATTGAATAATTAAATCGAAATCATTGTCTAAGATCCATATGCACAAATTGGTTTTATTAATCAAAGTCAACGTACTGAAGTTATTCAAAAAACTTTATGTCCAACATGGGATCAAGTAAATTAAATTTGTTTATTTTTTTTTTTGCTTAATAAAAAAAAAACTTTTATTTTAAGACATTAATTTTTTCAAATGTTGAACTTTATGGTGAACCAGATGAAATCTATCATGATCCTCCAAATATTCTAATTGAATTATTTGATAAAGATGAATATGTATATTTACAAAAAAAAAAAAACCTAAAGATATAAATTCATAAAAAAAAAAAATTTTTTTCTTGATAATATTCATAGGGAGTTCCAGATTTTCTTGGTCGTGTACAATGTTCACCTATTGTTCGTTTAATACCTGATGAAATAAATCCAATTGTTAAATTAAAATGGTTTCAAATAAAAAGAGGAAAAAATAATGCAGGAGAATTATTAGCTGCATTTGAACTTTTCTTAGTATATTATTTAATAGAAAAAAAAAAAAAACATTATCTCATATTAAAATTCATTTTTTTTAGTTGCCAGAAATTGATAACGAGAAAAAATTACCTCCATATCCATCAAAACGTGGTTCTTTATTTATTGTACCGGACTTAATTCGACCAGAACTTGTTCGAACTGGAATTGAGGTTTGTCTATTTACTTGATCAATAATAATAACAAAAAAAATTTGCTGTTTTTTTTGTCTCGTTTATTAGATTCTTTGTTGGGGTGTAAGAAATATGAAAACATTTATGTTATCTGATATTGATTGTCCACAAGTTATATTTGAAGTTGCTGGTCAACAAGTTGCATCGACAATTATTAAAAATGCTAAGAAAACACCAAATTTTGATAAACCTTTATTATTTCTTGATGTTGTATGTTTACCTTTTTTTTTCTTAAATTAATCTTTTTTCCTATAAAATAATATGATTAGATGTTACCAAAAGATGATTTATATGCACCAACAATGAATATCAAAGTAAAAGATCATCGATCATTTGGACGAAAACCAATTGTTGGTTTTCATATTATTAAATCATTGGAATTATTTCGATGTGATCCAACTGCACCTTCATTAACACTTATACAAGCAGCTAGTATATTCTTTTATTATTCATTTATTTAGAAAAAAAAATATATAATTATTTTCTAGAAAATATAGAATCACAAACTATCTCACCAACAAATGATTTTACTGTTCCAATGATTAAAAAAAAGAAGAAAAAACATCGAAATGAAGTAAAAATATTTGAATTTTATTAATTTAATAAAAAATAATTTTGCTTCATAATAGTGTTCTCATTCATCAAAAGTTAAGATTGTATTACCTAACGAAACAAATGATTTAACAAAAAATGAAATCGAAACAAAAATTGTTGATAAAAAAACAATGAGAAAACGAGTGAAACAGTTTTTAAAGAAATGTAAATCTTCTACAATAAAACCAGAATCGAAATTAGAAAAAATTCAAAAAGCATTTTTAAAAGATCAACAATATTATCAAAATGTACTCGTCAATCAAGTGGTTCGTTATATTTTTGTTTCATTTATTTCTAAAAAAAAGAAATATTTATTATATTTAATTATTCATTTTTTTTTAACTATTTCAAACAACATTGACCAAAAGAATTTTCAAAATAGACACAATCAAAAATTCTAGAACTTTCATAATAACCTATTCTCGTTCAGACTTGCCTGTATACAAAGTTTCAAGTTAAATTTCGAAACTCTGTTTTCCTGGTGTTCTTGAGGGGGCTACGGAATTTTACTAAAAAAATACGATATCTCAGTAATAATAAGATATTAGACCGAATGCTTTTCGGAGTTAGGAATCTGCAAAGTGGTTCCATCGGGACCAAATTTTGATTTTTATGGGACCGGGACTTAAAACTTGCTAAACTGGTTTTAGTATGTTTTCTGTTTAAGAACTAGACTATATATTGTTATATTTATTATTTTGTTCTGACTATCAATCTATAAATCGACCCTTTTTTATGATTATCATAAAAGCATAGATCTGGAAAATCACTTTTTTCGATCCTGGATCGAAACTGGAACCATCTTGGAAATTTCGATTAAAAACTACTCATTTACATTTTTTATCTATGCAAGAGAACTATAAGTTCTAAGAGCATCGTCTAAGTCGTACAGCTAGAACCAAAGAAAGTTTTGAGTGAGACAAAGCAAGTGATTTTGTATTTCCCTAGTTCTGATCCATCCATATAAGCGTATGCTCCTACTATTAATTTCTCACAAAATCATCAATGTCAATTTTATAGGTATTCAAAGAATCATACAGATTATTAAAAACAAAGAACATTTTTGCTAGGAACGAAATTAGAACCAGAACCAATAAAAAAATTTTAACTGAGATCTAGACTGGAACCAATAAAAAGGTAGTTCCGTTGTTCCCTATTCTGAGTACTTATAGCTCATGAGAACCTACATCATGCATATAGTCCTAACTCAATGGTTTATTTGACACTTGAAACTGTTCGCTCGTTAGAGTAGAAAATGAAGTAACCATTTTTGCTGATTGAATTAAACCATAGCGAGAACTTTCGCTTTCTTATTATTCAATAATTTTATATATTAATTAGACAATAGTTGAAGATGATATTGATTGGTGGTCAAAATATTATGCATCGAAACGTGATTTCAATAAATGTGGTACTTATATACAAAAAAGATATGAAACTTTAACAGTAAATATATCAATATTACGATTTTTGTTTTCTTCTATTTTATTTTATTTTTTTTTAATTTAAGATTTATTCTCATCCACTTGAATTATATGAATTTTATGAAGGTTTTAATGATTTTTGTCGAACATTTGAATTATCTCGTGGAAAAACAAAATTTGAAGAAGAAAATGAAATTGTCGGAGAATTTAAAGGTCTTTTTAAAGTTTATCCATTACCTGAAAATTCTAATGAATTATTACCACATCGAATTATGGAACATTTTCCATCAAATAATTTAGAAGAATGTTTAATTCGTGTTTATATTATACGTGCTATTGATTTACAACCAAAAGATTCAAATAGAAAATCAGATCCATATATTGAAATTCAATTAGGAAAAATAAAAATTGATAATCGAGATGAAAAAATATTAAATACAACAAATCCTATCTTTGGAAAGTTAGTTTATCAATATGTTTTCTTTTTCTTTTACTCTGGTTTTTTTTTTTTTTTTTTGTTATCTTAGAATGTTTGAAATCAAAACAATAATTCCATTAGCGAAAGATTTAATAATACGTATTAAAGATTGGGATTTAATAACATCAGATGATATTATTGGACAAACAACAATTGATTTAGAAAATCGACTTTTAAGTAAATATCGAGCAACATGTGGACTTCCATTACAATATAATTTGTAAGAATTTTAGATACAAAAAAAAAAAAATAAATAAATAATAGTTGAAATTAATTTATTTAGAACTGGTCCAAATCAATGGCGTGATAATAGTCGACCGAGAAAAATTCTTTATGATATTTGTAAACGAAATAATTTATCTTTACCAGAATTACTTGATGATCATTCAATTAAAATTGGTGATACAATTTTTCGTTTGGAAGATTTTGGTTTGTTTAAAAAAATCTATTTGTTTCTTTTCATCTTAATTTAATTTAGAACAAGAAAAAAATTTAACAATTCATGTTGGAGAAGAAGAAGAACGTTTAGCATTGTATATTTTACATAAATTTCATCTTTGTCCTGAACATATTGAAACACGACCACTTTTTAATTCATTTCAACCATTTATTGAACAAGGTCGTTTAGAATTATTTGTTGATATTTTTCTGAAATCTCATGGTCCACCTGGACCACCTTTTATGATTACACCAAGAAAACCAAAACCGTAGGTTGATTATAATTTCGGGACTCATTGTGTATATGTATTAGAATAATCTGTCAAAAATTCCGAATAAATATCAGTTTCAATTGGAGACGGATGCTGTATGAACTGATAAAAGTTTATAATAATGATAAAGAAATAGTCAGGAAGTAATTAGATCATATGTATCGTATGCTCGAACGTTCTATATGAATACGATTTCGGATATTTGAATATGATTGATTACAGTTGATCGTGAGTAATATTGTTTAGAATTATCATTTATTTTGTAAGATTTTATGTTATTTAAAAGAAATCTTTCATGAAAATCTCATAAAATGATATAGAAAATAAATGAGTGAGTTATTAATTATTGTCATGTTAAATCAAATACTTATTTCATTTTTGCTAATTAAACTTGTATGTATATATTAGTGTAAAATATATGCATGAATATTTTCTTCTCAGATTAAGACACACGGTGAGCTTTCAATAATCTATATAAATTAGATTCTGTGACATTAAAATTTTGCTAGTTGTTAAATATTAACTTTAATGCATGATCATAGTTTTTTTTTTTTTTTGTTCGTTCTTATCCCTGTTACAAGGAAATACATATATTAAACCAAACTGATTCTACACGTTTCTATCTGATGAGGGAAGGTTCCTAATTAATTAATTAATTATCATAGCCGTCTCTTAGAATAGAAACAACAAAAAAACTTCAAACTCTCACAATAAACTATTCTCATTAAGATCTGTCCTAGTACAAAGTTTCAAGTCGAAATTTGAAAATCATTTTTCCTAATGTTTCTGAGATAGAGGCCACAGCAGTGATTTAAAAACAAATATCGTAAAAATGTAGTATCTTCACAGCAATAAGCTAAGGCTTCGAACTCTTTTGAGGATAATAAAAGTTCATTACGATCTACATGATGCACATAGTTTGGACTCAAAAGTAATTAATCAATTCTGAAACTTCCCCTCGTGTAATACTGAGTAGTAGGATGCTTGCTTCTTTTTTTTTCTTCAATTATTCTCTATTATTTTAATATTTTTGCAATCTATAATAGTTGTGATTCATAAAATTCTTTTTAGCTATATTCTTCGTTGTATAATTTGGAATACAAGTGATGTCATATTACAAGAAACATCAATAACAGGAGAACAAATGTCTGATATTTATGTAAAAGGATGGATGACTGGAATAGAAGATGATGTACAAAAAACAGATGTACATTATCGGTTTGTTTGAATTTTCTTTCTTTTTATTGAAAAAATTTAATTTTTTCAATTAGATCAATGGATGGTGAAGGAAATTTTAATTGGCGTTTTATTTATAATTTTTCTTATTTTCCTGCTGAACGATGTATTTCAATTAGAAAAAAAGAATATTTTTGGAGTTATGATGCAACAGAATTTAAAATTCCACCTGTATTAAATATTCAAATATGGGATAATGATAAATTTAGTCGAGATGATTTTCTTGGTAATTTTCACTTTTCTTTCTTTTATTTTATTTTTTGTTTTAAATTAATTTAATAAAAATAGGTGTATTAACACTTGATTTAAATCGTTTATATAAACCAGCTAAAGATTCTGATGTTTGCACATTGGAGATTGTTAATGATCAATTATCAAATTATGTATCAATTTTTGAAATAAAACATTTAAAAGGTTGGTGGCCTTGTGTTGATCTTCAAAGTGGAAATCCAAAACTTACTGTAAGTTTTTTTTTTTTAATTTGAATAGAATTTTATCGAAAACAATAAAAAAAACAAAAAAATAATTTAGGGTAAAATTGAACTTGAATTAGAAATTTTAACAGAAAACGAAGCAATTGAAAGACCAGCAGGACGTGGTCGTAAACAACCAAATGAACATCCAAAATTAGAATTACCACAGTAAATATTTTGTTTTTATATTGAAAAGAAAAAAAAACAAATAAAAAAAATTTAATTTCAGACGTCCTGAAACATCATTTCTTTGGTTTACATCTCCATATCGTGCATTTAAAAATATTATATGGAAAAAATCGAAATGTTATATTCTTCTTATATTTCTATTAATATGTTTTATTATATTCTTACTTTTATTTCTTTGGTCGATGCCTGTAAGTTTAAATTCTTTTGAAATAATCTTTATTATTTATTGAATATTTTTTTAGAAAGCATTATTATCTCGTCTTTTACATACATTCAAATAATTGAATATTTATTGTTAAAATTGGTTTTTTTTTTAACCGGTTCTATCAACTAATAAATTTTTATCATCAAGTAGTAGATTTTGAACTCTACGTCGTTCAATTTGTGTTAAAGAATCTTTTGTTTGTCCACTTGCTAATGCACTTGTTGTACGTGGTGATGATTGTAATGATGAAGATACTTTTTCTTTTTGTAATGATGGTATATTTGACATAAATGCTTCAAAACGAAGTGCACTTAATGCATTTGGCTGAAAGGCAATTATTTGATCAATTTCATCACGCTGAGATTTAGCAAAACGAAGACGAGTTGCTCGAATTCTTTTATTAAAAGAAAAAAAAATGACTCATGAAATTTCATGAACATATGAATCTTACCGATTTCTTGCTTCAGCAGCTTTCAGTTCACCAATAACGATAGCATATTGCCGAGCCATATAGGCTTCTTGTTCTAATTCGGCCTTGGTTTTTTTCTTTCCAATAAATGGTTTATCATCATTTATGGATTTACTTGGACGCCTTTCGATTTCTTGTTGCGCCATTCTTATTTATTTGTTATGATGAAGAATATCAATATCCATTGAACGATACTCTTTCCATAACAACCATCACGGATGATTCATTCACGATTAAAAACATAATTTCAAATATTCTATATGAACATTTCAATTTGAATATATACGTATAGAAAAATGATCGATAAATGCTGATAACAACAAGAAAAATTAATTTTGATAGGTGACGCTTTGAATGCTAAACTGATTGGTTCTCTGTTAAGTCACTAAATTGAGATGTTGTTTTTTTTTTTTACATAAAACGTTTATCTTTTGGTTTAATTAATATTAGTATTCGACAATTATTATCGTTGATATATAAAAATGAAATTAAGTCTTATTCGTTTTGGTGGTGGTGGTGATGCTGAAGTTCCAGCACATATTCGAGAAAAAATGGCTACGAATTGGTATATTCGTCATTTTAATTCTTATACAACTCGTGGTCGAGCTAATTCAGTAATGGCTGTTCTTGGTGGTTGGATACTTTTCGGTTATACTATGGCAAAATGGTCTAAATCACGTAGTGCTAAAAAATTAGCTTCTCAACCACATCCAGCTTCGACTCCAACAGCACATCCATCATCATCGTCAGCTAAAAAGAGTACTCATCATTAAAATTATTTTTTTCTCTTAAACTTTCTTCTACTAGTAAACATTCGTATGAGTAGTTATGATTTTTCTGTCTTTTCTTCTTCTTCTTTTTTTTTTTATTTATATTCAAACATATTAGAAAAAAATAAAGTAAGAACATTATTGATACTGTTACAGTATTCAACAAGAATCAATAAATGATTAATTTCTTACAAAATTTATTTACTATGATAGAAAGATAATAATACATTTATTAAATAAATGAAAAAGTCAGAGTAAACAGTTTCATGTCATTTTATATCTTGATTAACATAAGTTTATCTGTCTCGAGTGATCAATATTTTATCTAGTATCGAAGGGCTGAGGAAGCTGCATCCCTCCGAACATCGAGTTGGCCTTTTCAAAGTTTGTAATTATTATATCACGTACTACGTGCTTGCACTTTAAAAAAATAGATGTTCGCCGTCCCAGAGCTTTAAATCATCTCTCTGGAAGAGAAAATATGAATAAAATACGATAAAGGATACATTTCTTAATTAAGATTATAGATATACTATCAAAGTAATGATTAATTCATAATTAAATTCCAATAGCTTTAATGTATCCTACAAATATCTCAAGATTGTTAATGTTTTATTAAATATAATTATTCAAATCTCTTGAAGCTTTTGAGAAAAGAATAGTAATCATAGATTTTCTGTGATTAATTAACAAAATTTGTATAGACGCAGAGTAGATTCGTTTAAAACTAATAGGACAGACGAATCAATTGATATAACTTTGTTAGGATCATAAAATTAAAATTCATCAGTAGCTGAACTTCTTTTTTGTATATTAACTAATATGTTGTACTACTTTACTAAACTGTAAGTCCGTCAACAACCATTCATTCATTCATTCGAAATAAGCAGCAAGAGATTTCTAACTATAATTCTTTTTCATGTTCAATATTCATAACTGATCATATGTGAAAGCATTATAAAATTCAAAGAATAATAATATGTTTCTATCAAAATTATTTGTCATACAATTAATGCTAAAATTTATTATGATATTAAATAGTTTGAATTTCATCGCTGTAATATTGAAGTGAACAATGATTTTATTCTTTTGATATATCTAATCAATTGAATGTCGTACTCGATAACAAATTTTTTATTGTCTTTATGGTAAAACTTAAAGTATATAGATTTCTCATGATCATATTAATCGCTCAAATAAAGAAGAAAAATCAAAAATAACGAAGAAATGTTCTCACATTTTCTAGAAATATTCATTACATAGTTTTTGAATTAAATTTAGCTGTTAATCATATATATATAAAGAGATAGATAGAGATTATTAGAGTCGGAAATTACTATATGTTGAACATGAATCGTGAATGCAAAAATTCATCGTAATTCAGTCATCTGTTATAATTCAAGAAGAGCAGAAATATCGGAAAAAAAGGGCAACATTTTAGATTGTCTCATGCGTAAATATGATTCGTTGGAAATAAAAATGATTCGTACAGTAATGTTTCTATTGACATTTGATGCACTTATATTTTTTTTTTTGTCTATTAGAAATATTTATTTTGTGCTTGAAATTTTTGATGGTAACTTCATTTTTTACTCATCCAAATATAGAGAATTATTTGTTGTTTGACGGCTGCATATAGTAAGTGCCTAATGTCATTAGATGCATCTTGATCTCGAAGATGTTCGTCAACCTAATTTTGTAATTTTTTTACTGTCACGATCTGTTTTTTTTTTTTGTTCTTGGTATTTTACATTAAGATTATGTTTCATATCAGCAAAGCCATTTTATTTTGTTGATTAAAGGATATAGTCAAGAATAAAATACATCATCACCTTCTTTAAGATCCTGTCAATATAAATTAATGACATAGAAATCGTAGTATACGATAATCTTGTTGAACTGACCATATGTTCACTCGAATATGTATATATAATTTATTTGTTCGATTTATTAAGTAATATTTAAGAACAAAACGAAATACGATATATGAGCATTTGAAATGCTTGGAGATGACGAAAACAAAAAAAGTGTCATGTTCAATTAAAGAAAACTGTCTAATCTTTCTATTCTATTAAGATTAGTTAATTTTCAGATACTATCTCTTTTTGTAGTAATCTTTAAGTATATGTTTTGTTAAATTATGATTCAACGATTTCAAAATGAAAAAAATTGACGCATATTTCTTTGTAAATACCCAAGGGTATATGACAAAGTAATTAAATAATTCTGTTGTGTTTGCCAGCAAAATGAACTATTTCATTGCAAAGTATCATAAGTATAAAAATTGAAACGCAATACTGATTCATTATTATAGCGAATAACTTCCGACACATGTGACTTAGTATATATACGCAAATAAATTCTCTTCTTTCAGTTACATAAATCAACAGATTTAAAATTTAAAGTATCCATTGATATTCATTTATCAAGAATAAAAAAAAAACATAATACTAAGTGAACTTTTCTTACTATATATATATATATATCTATTGTAAGTTTAATAATATAAGTATATTTAATTATAAAATTGTCGTGACATAAAAGACATTCTATGTAATGAAATGTTTCCTCTATGAGAAAATCTGTGCAGGCCGTACAGTAAAAGTCTCTTCATATTTTTGCTATCAACGCATATGGTATAGCTCTTTCGCTTTTTTTTGTTTTGGTAATATCTACTTCATCTTATTTTCTTATTATAACATTTGTTAAATATTTATTCGTTTCAATTATAGAATACTTCTGTTCATTAATTAATTCTAAGTATTTCAATACGTATAAAGGGATACCCGAAGCAATTCTAGACATTCTAATGTGTCTTGGGTAATTTTTATTTATAATAATATCTTTAGATTCATTTCTCTTTTTTTTTTTTTTTACGGGAAAACAATTTCTTAATAAATATTTATTTGTGAACATATGATCGGACTAGAAATTTCTATTCGATAATTTTAATCTCGGAAATAACCTTTGTACAATTGAATTTTCGTTGCGTGAAAACCAGTTGTTGCATATACTAATAAGATTAATCTCTTTCACGCAGTACATGAATAAAAAGAAATGCGTTAGAAAAAATGTAACTATTGGGAATATTGTCTCTAGAGATGAGACAAAAATATATTCAGTATTATTATCGTACAATGGATACTAAGACTTGATAATTCTAGTGGAGAAAAAAAATAATAGAAGAACTACAATGTGTATAAGTTTTTTTTTTTTAGACAAATAGAACTCATTATGTTGTCCTAGTAGAACAACTTAATTCTATACGATTAAAACTATCTTGATGTAACAAAATTTATTATTGACTTAAATATAATAAATAAATTTGTCAATTCTTTGTATTAAGTCGACAGCACATTTTACTGAACATACAGCTTTCAACATTTCAGAAAAATAATGACTTTTGCTCAAAATTGTATGCAATCATAAATCATATTATAGTGCTATTTGATGATACAATAAACCAACAATATACTTATTGACAAAAGAAATAACCGGTTAAACTGATTCACCCTTATTTTTTTTTAAGCGGATATTGTTCCGCTAAGTATGCAATGTCGAGACTAGAATACTTGTGCAATAAGTGGAGATTCATAATATATCATTGCCGAATTATGATCATTTTATTGATCTATTTCTTCTTGGTCAGTTTCTTTCAAGAAAAAGAAAAAGAATGAATTAAAAGATTAATTTTATTGACAGATAAATCTAACTAAAACTAAAATGTTCGAAAAACTTTAACAAAAATAAATATTTTTGTCTCGAAATATAGAGCCTATCGAACATTATATTCTTCCTTTGATAATAGACTAAGTTTATAATAAACTTCTTATCTCA